CCAGCCTCTCTATAGCATGATGAGCTGGGGTGGAGCAGCTCCAATCTGGCAGGCTGACCCCCAAGGTCCCCTGAGAGCCTGGAGCAGGCACAGCGACAGGCAAGGGCTGCTCTGCCCCTGCTCAATGTGCTGCTTCCCCAGGCACATGTGTAAACACTGCACCTGGGAGCAATAAATTCCAGTGCAAATTGCACCATAGTTTATTACGACCTGCTAATTGCACATGTAGATGAACCCAAAGAGTGGAAGATTGCTCCTACCCAACTACTGTATTATTTTAGCATGGAGTCAAAAAACATTTATTTGCCATAAAGACGACTCCCATGAATCCCATCTGTCTAATAGTTTCTTTATGGCCATCATGACTAGAGAAGTTTTGAAGTATATTGGCAAGTTAGAAGGTAATGCAGTTCAAGTGTATCCTGTCTCATTTGACAAATACATATCAAATTTCCTTTTTACCTCAGTCCAGGGGTTTTCAACCTTTTTTTAGTCTGAGTACACCTGGCGGCCAACTACCAAACAGAGGGGTAGAAGTGGGGAAGCAGGTGGCATGCGGCCGGATGCTGAGCGAGACAGTGTGCAGGGACAGAGCACCACCGCCTTCTAGGAGCAGAGATGAGGCAGGGCAGGGAAGCTCACCAAGCTGGGTGAGGGCAGTGGTGCCCCTCTGCAGGGTGAGGAAGCTCACCAGGGTGGTGTGTGGCAGTGGCAGCTGCCGTGTGAGAGCTTCCTTGCCCTGCAGCCTTGCTCCAACCCAGCCCTGCTCCTGGGAGGCAGTGGTGCTCTGTCCCTACCTTCTCACCCACCCATGGGTACCCCCTAGGACTGGTCCAAGTACCTCCAGGAGTACGCGTACCCAGGTTGACAACCCCCACCTTAGTCCAAATAGATTGAGGCAAAGAAAATCCTGTCTTGACAACACAGACTTTGTTTCAGTTTTTAATTTTATTGCAGGAATATACAGAGGTAACCTGTAAAACACAATCTGTTTGGCCAATTCTAACATACAGAAAGTGCCAAGATACAACTGTCAGTCTTGTATACATTTTCATACTTTTGTGACTTAAACCCCACGCCCCACACCCTTTCCTACTTAAATATAAGTGCCTGGCATTGCACAAGAATAAATGTCACTAGGCTTTCTGTAGTGCCTACTTGAAGAGAAATGTAAGAAAAATAAATACTAGACTCCCAACAGGGGTTGTACAGGCACCTTCCCCGGAGATCTTCAAAAGGAGACTGGACACACACCTTACTGGGGTTATTTGACCCCAGTTGTCCTTCCTGCCTAGAGCAGAGGAGCTGGACCGGATGATCTCACCAGGTCCCTTCCAGCCCTAAACTTCTTGAATGTAGATCTAGAAATATGCTCTAAACTAAAACTGATTCTTAATTTCAGATGCATTTGCAGCAACACTTAGAGCCACATTTAACCAGAATCGCCAAAGTGTTTGGTACTTCCTGGGATTTCTTCTCCACCCCAATTCACAATCCATGTTCTCAGACTAAGCAAGAATTAAGATCAGGAGATGCAGAAGGAAATACAACTCCCTCCCTCCCCTCAAAAGAAGACTGGGTGGAGCTCTCTCCCCTTTCCATGGCAGCTCTAATCACAGCTCTCCCTCTCTTTGTTCAGTCTCCTTTAACAGCCTCCTCTCCCTCCTCAATTACCTTCCATTGTACTAATGTGACAACCGGCACATGGGCCAGCACAAAGGGTGCGACAAACCTAGGACCTTCAGAACTAAGACTATGGAACTAAACAGGCAGATTCTAAATTAAGGGGAAAGATCACATCTTCAAGGGCCTGGAAGGGAGGACACAACCCACCCCGTCTCCAGTGGGTTGCCCAAACCATTTATTTTTGCATACATTTACATTCCAAGTCGTTCTTCCTTCACTTTCACTTTAGAAGGGTTGGGTTATGAGTTTCCCGTGTCCACCCCTTCAGCAGAGGGAGCAGCACGCTAGAAGACTCAGCTCTTCTTTTCACACTACACCACAATATATTATGCAGACGATGAGCACAGGAAAACGAGGGGGGACCTTCTGCTCCCTCCCTCCCTCCCTCCCTTACAGACATGCAGGGCAGGCCACAATTTGGCTCTAAACTTTGCAAATGTATTATTTACCTGGTTGATCACTTCTGCAGTGTTTGTCAGAGGTCACCATGCAAAATGAGAGCAAAACCAAGCATTTCATAGGATTTCCAAAGTGTTCTTAAGTCTCCCTGGCAAGATTTGAGGGTGCTTGGAGCCTTTGGGGATCAGGCCCTTAAAACTGCATTGTTGTTGAACTCATCATTACTGGTTTGGGGCCCAGCAAGAAGGAAGCACTAACAAGGAAAGTGTAACAAAAAATGATACAAGAAACAATGCATTGCCATTCTTGGCTGGCAGTGTTCTTCAGCCCCACCAGTTGCTTTTAATTGGCGAGAATTTCCAGAGGACTGACACTAGCACATCGTGGCGGCTTCTCTTCCTATACAGCTTGATGCTTTTAATACATCGCTCGCTAGGAAGCTTTATGGAACTGCAAGTAACTCATACGGGGCACAGTCCCATTCTTGCTGCAGGTAATTGCAAGACTCCCATTGACAGGGACAGCAGCAGGAACAGCTCAGTCAGATCTGATGCAAGACACACTTGTTCTCCTTTCAAAACAAGAGAAAAACAACATTTATTCTGCCTTTCTTCAGGTCAGAAACAGCCTGCTTGAAGCTGCCTTGCTGAAGAAGGAGCTTCAAAGTGGGAAACTGGATCTCACTAAGTTATTTTACACTGCTTACACAAGCCATTCATAGAGCGAGCTTCCTTACTGAAGTGAACAGCATGTCCTAAGGGGACACTGTGGGCAATTCTTATTTCAGTTCCTGCCACAGACGCAAGTACGCTCTGGTCCAAGATAAGCCTTTCAGTGACAGAGCTGTGCATAGTAGTATGTTAAATATCCATAGGGTTGACTATTAAAATATGCCTTTGCACATGAACCCATATTGCTGTCCTGGCACAGAAGTAAGAGCCAAAAGACACCAGCATTCATTTCACTGGATCAAAGAACATAAGGCAGCAGCTGCAATCACTTTAAGAGAGGCGGGGGCGGAGGGGACAGCAGCAGACTGCGAGTCCATGGTCAAAGGGCCTGATCTTTGCTCCCATAAGGAACAAAACTGACTCTTTTACAAGTGCTGCACAGCTGCAGCATGTCTAATCTAGTTTCCCATGTGTTACACAGAAGAAAAATGCTTAAGAAAGTAGTAGTGTTTTCTTATGTCAATCATTAGACAACACCAAAGGTCAAATGCTGTCCATGTTAGTACCCACAGAGCCCCCTGGGCTTCATGGGTGTAACCAATGACACAATTTGGCCACCGCAGCCTCTCCCTTTTTCTCTCCCTCTCTGACACAGAAGATGTCTTCATAAGCTGTTTTACCATTGCTGAAGCTAGATGAAGGGTTCGGTTAGATCCTCCAAACTTAGGGCTGGCTAATTCCTCCTAAGCCACAGGATGTACAGTTACTTTCCATTGCCGAAGATGCAAAGAGGATCAATGGGTTGCTCATTTTTTACTGCCAAAGACCCCACTGGAGTTTACTTTCCCTCCCCGACTCCCCAGAGAAGCTTTTACTGCATTTCCTTTTCATACCCCACGTTCAGCGATTTGCATGCGACCTCAAATGCACCCCAGAGGCTGCGGTCCGATTCCCCAGGGCTCCGCAAGAGGGTCCCAAAGTTCCTTAGTAATTCAAAAGCGGCACATCAGAAGTTGCTGTGGTTTAGAAATATCAGAAGGACCACTTGAAAAATGGCCGAGCAAATATATTTCAAAGCAAAACAGGAGATAAAGAAAAAAAAAAAAGATCCAGGAGCAGGCTTGTCACACCGTTCCAAAAATGTGAATGACCCTTGGATAAATGAACTTATGTGCAAACAAGCAGGTATTTTAATCAAACATAGGCACCAAGGACATTTTCTCTCTAGTGCACACTGAGTTTTTTTCCCTTCTTTTCAGCTGCTCCTTTTCTCAAGTTTAGTAACTACATTAACCCTCCAGCAAAGAAGCAAGAGGGGGGGAAGGGGGGAGTGAGGGGGTTTAAACTTTTCTTTTTCTAAGCCTGAAGATTTTTGTCTCTGATCCTGAGCTCATTGTCTCCTGTTTTGTACCCTTGGAGTGCTTGCTTTCAGCTGGGTCTCCTAGGAGGTGTTTGCCAAAGCTTTAGAGCACTGTGCATGTTGGACTCCGGCTCAAGGGCGGTTTCTAAAAGGCTTGGGAAAGGAAAACGTCTCTGCTTTGTGTGTTTTGAAACGAATGTTTCAGAGAGGACCTGGCCAGGTCCCCTCAAGTTTATTTGCCCCCTTTCCAGAAACTGGGGCATTGTGTGCGTGGGGGGGAACACACATTTCAGCCATTCCAGGCCAGGCGGGTCAGCACAGCCCTGCACGACCTGATCTGCTCGTTTTTCTTCTCTCCTTGCTGAGTGAAAGTGGCCGGGCTGTCAGCCTCCTGGATCCCAGGTGCTGTTAACTCCTCCCTGCTCAGTCAAACCTAGCGCTTGCCTGGATGAAGAGGCGCTGGTGCCACTTTCAGTTCACACGTGGGTCACTGCAGGGACATGGCACAAGGCTCAGCGGGCTGGGGTGGTACCTAGACTTGTGGTGGCCCCGGAAGAACTTTTAGTATCGCCCCCCTTCGCCAGAGAGAATGAGATCCATGTTCAGGCCCCCTTTCTGTCCCGACCGAGCAGGTGCCTGTGTCCAGCCCTGGCCCGGAGGGCAGAGCTCAGAGGCCCTCAGCCCCCGCCCACCCCGCTTGCCCCTGACACCTCCAGGGCACAGGCAGCCCCAAACCGGAGTCACTCCATTTAACCCCTTCCCTGCCGCACACGCGCACCCCGGGGCTGGGGGGACCCCCAAGCACATTAACTCTTCCCCTTCCAGCAGGGGCCAGCCAGCCCCAAACCGGAGCCACTCCGCTCCTCCGCGCATTAACCCTTTACCTTCCAGCAGCACCTCCTTGCCCGCCCGCTTGAGCGCCTGCACCGCCTCGTCGTGCGTGGCGTCCCGCAGGTCCGTGCCGTTGACGGCCAGGATGGCATCGCCCACGTACAGCGCCTGGGTCTGGTCGGCCGCCAGCCCCTTGAAGATCTTGCTGATGAGGATGGGCATCTTGTTCTCCTTGCCGCCCTTGATGCTGATGCCCAGCCCGCCCAGCTCCTGCTTCAGCACCTTCACCCGCCGCTTCTGGTTGGACAGGCTCTCGGGCACCTGCTCGGGCGGGTCGGTGAAGGCGGTGCGCACCCCCGCCGCCGTGGGGCTGCCGCCCGGGGAC